AAGCTGGACCACTAGGTAGGTAAGAATACAGCAGTCATTGATTCAAAAAAAAAACAAGCAAGGGAAAGCAGATGTCCCTTTCCCTAAGAAAGCTCTCTCTTGCTTGCCTTTAGAAGGACCTCAACCCACTTCAGCCGGTGTGCAAGTAGTCTGAATGCCTGATCCTCAGGGATCCAAGGAGGATCCGAGGATCCTCAAGGGACCACATGCCTAAGAGGTATAAAATGTTTCAATAGTTCTCTTGTGTTGCCTTGGAGTCAGGTAACAGCCTTGGTACCAAGAGAGGTAACCCTCTCCCTGGTGCGCCCAACCCCTGGGCATTCTGTGGCAGGCAGGCCGAGCAGGTGGGTGGCACACCACAATCGCGCGCCATTCACACGCCCATCATGCGGCAACCACATGGCAAATGTGCCCATCACAGGACAATCAGGTGCTCAGCACACCTGTTGCTACTACAGTTGCACTGCTCCCAGCGGCCAGGGCAGGTAGCCCTAAAGGACTTACAGAATTCTGAGGAAGAATCAGAACTGGATAAGGGAATGCAGACACAGCCACAGCAGTGCTGAGGAGATGGGTGTCTGCACTGGCACTGACCCCAGGAAGACAGTTACCTCTCCTGGTACCAAGGATGTTACCTGCTCATGGTGACCCTGAGGCAGAACAAGATAACTATCAAATCAGTTTGATATCAGGGACTCACCCTGCTGTGGCTACCAGTTCAGTCTTTAAAGACTCAAAAGTACTCTGTATTATACCACTAGAAATACCATAGCCAGAGAAAAATGATATCACGGAGGGACTGGTATGGATAAAGAAAAAATATATTAAAAAAAAGTAAAAAAATAAAGAGATTCCTAGAAACTTCAAAGGTAACTGAGAAATGTTGTTCCATTTAGACAAGAGATTAATTTTGAGGCATTGGTTCTGTTCTCACTGAAGTCTTGGGCAATGAGTTCAGTAAAAAACAAACTACTTACTAGTGCACATCATGTAACATTTTACAAACAAATGCATTGGCCAAGATTTTATTACAGACATACATGCGTAATTCTTTCTAGATAGGCCAATACCCAACTACATATCAGCTTCAGTAAGAATTCCATGCCATAGTCTGAGACTCATAACTCTATCACTTACATTAAAATCTTATGGGGTGTAAAAAGCACACACTCAGTAGTCACTAACTACTATATAGCATTCTAGAAGCACTGTGCTACCTATTTCTTTTCCAGATTTCCACACTTTGTTACAGAATTTCTCTTGCTCTTTCTTTAAGTTGATATGTGTTACACAACGATAATTATGATCACTGATTAAACTGAAGATCCAAAGCTGCAAGAAAAAGAAAAAGCAATTGCAATAACCCTTTGACACTAAATATAAAGCTTACGTTAATACAAACTAAAGATCCAGTATTTAAAACTTTTGTTGTAACTAATGAACTTCTTTGAACTGCACATCAAATTCCCACATGTTTATGTCTTTGAAAAAACTCCTCATAGACTATTTCCGACAATTAAAAATCACAGATAACATGCATGTCGTTGCTCACTGGGTCATGAAGATGAATTTCGTTTATACCTTTCTCTTTTAAGACTAAGGTATAGTTAAATCTTTAATTTTCTTAAGAATTCACTGAACAGTAATAATGAAGGAAAACAGCTGAAAAATCTCATAAAAATATATAACTAACATTAAAGAAGAGGTGAAATGCATATTCACAGTTATCACATTTGCATTAGAATTCCAACATGCTGAAATCATAGTCCTATGTTTCACCTTTTTTCTTTTAAAACAGGTATATTTATAGCCTCTCAGCATACTCTTCTTACATAATCACTGATTGTGCTCTTAAAAACTTTTCTGGTTTTCAGGAAAAAGTTTGTTTTGTAATAGAAGTCATATATACTATATATGGTTTATGGTCAAAGCATTGAATTATGATTGCTAAAATAACTGCTGCAACACTTCAAAACTTGTATGCAGTTTGTGAAGCTTTTTCATAGACAGAAATATTAATAATAGTTGACTGTTTTGACATAGAGACTAAGTTTAATGGGCATTCTTACCTGTCCTTCAGCACATCCAGTGATAAGTTGTTTGTTTTCTTCATCAATTAGCAGACTTAGCAAAGGAAACGCTGCTTAAAAAAACAAGTATTTGATTGAAATCCTATTCATAAAGATAGGAAGAAAAAACCTTACTGCAGTTCTTACAGTTGCACAGATTTGTGTGCCTTAGTCTTTGTGCTGCTAAGGGCTTTCCACTTGCAGGTTTGTGGACCCAAGCTGCTGTGGCATGGTTTTCAGACCTCCTGTGGTCAGTAGCTTTCCCTTGTTTCACCCATGCAGTTTGTTTTCATGGTCTTGTACCTGCAAACACTGACATTGTGCTTATGGCAGGTTTTCAAGCTAAACAATTGCCACAGGCAAATGGGGGGATTCATTACTTCACCCTCTCCTTTCCTAACGTGTGTTTTTAGCTTTTAGTTTATATGAGGTCCTTCAACAAAACGCTATGCACAAAGCTTAACAACCAGTTCCACGCAACTCGCACCCCCAAAGTGTACTCCAGTCACCACTAACAGCACCACAAGCAAGAACAACCGAAGGGAAGTTCTGAGTAGGTCCTGTTGAAACCTGTACAGTTCCTGTAGGAAAAGTGCTTTGAAGGAAGGGTCTCTGCTACACCGGAGACAATGCTTGCCCTCCTCCTCTTCTCTCCTTTTGCTCGTCTTTCCACAAAAGTCAATATCTTTAAAGTCAATATATGCCATCAGCTGCAGACACTGTTAATACTACACCTACACATGGTGTAGTATTTCTTTTTATGTCATGCACAAAACTTGAAGGAAAGCAAGCACACAGTACTCGGATAGTGGAATTCTGCTTACAAAACAAGAGAGCTCCATTCGTGTATCTCAGTAAGTGGCACATTACTTACACATCCTGTACAAAAAGAGTCGTTTATGAAAGTACACGAAAACTATCCACCAGGAAGTTCACTTTAAAGGAACATACAGTTACTATTGGCTTTAAAGGATAATATGTTTACTGCTCTCTAGTCTTCTAGAATTATTTTCACTAAATCAACTAAAAACTTCTACAATAATGATAGACTACTTTTTAGAGAGAAGAGGTTTTTGCTATAAAAAAATACATATAAAAATAGAAAACTTACCTGTTATTATTCCCGACTGATATATTAATTGGCCGGTAGAATAGTCCCACACCTTTGAATAAAAAAAAGACATAGATAGGTATCTACTTAGGTCTCTAAGGAAAACACAACCTTTAACGGCCATCACATGATGAAAACAGAGAAATGCAGGCATTGAAAGCGATGTCCTTAGATAACGATTTTTTTCAGCACTTGTTTTTAAATACAAAGGCCTTTGTTTAATTGATAAGCATCTATGGTGTAAAAGGTGAAACTCACATAATATGATTACATGAAGTAATTAAAAGTACTTGTTATCATCTTTGCTTAGGTTGATATCTTAGTGATTTTAGCTAAATTAATGAAAAGACATACATTAATGAACCAGAAAAGAAAAAAAAGAGGAAAGGAAGGGGAGAAGGGAGTGGAGGAAGGGGAGGGACCCACAACCTTTGATATTTATTGTAGCTTGTAGACAAAAATTTTGGGCTACATTTAGAGTCATATTGAGGACAATCAGTAGTAGATTAAAGTGTATGTAATCAAGGTACCTATCCCAATATCTCCTAGAAAATACATCTGGGTTCACTCAGGCTTCTTGTTTCCCCTTACTGTCTAAGTTGTCTTACAATTGTCATCACACGCAGCAGCAGTAATCCATGGTGTCACCATATAAAATGTTGTCTGTCAAAAATCCTACCAATATGCAATAACCCAGCCATTGCATACAATAACCCAAGCCAATATTCCCAAAAGGGAAAATTCAAATCAATGTCAGCAGACTCACAGTGAAATGTTTTCATTCAGTTCAGCATACCTAAAACACTTCAGCTACAGTCAAACTAATCAAAATATTTTATTTCTATGTGCTAGATGATAATAATCACCAAAGTTAACAATTCATGTGTAAAGTTTTGAATATACAAAATCTGCGTTGTTCTTTTAAAAAGAGAAATTAATTTTTACAATAATTTCGCAAGCATCTCTAAGAACCATGTCCTTCTCTCTATAAAGTCAAAGACGTTTTTTGCTTCATCCTCACAAAATATTTCAAGGGAAAAAAAATTGCTTCACATATTCACTAAATTATTCTTTTTTAAGTTTATCTATACAATTTCCTTGCCTTAAAGGTTCTGTCTTCTGACACTGATATAAGCATGCTTTTCTCCCATGTGCAAAACTCAGCAGCAGTCACTGGAGCCAGGTGGCCATCCAATTTAGTTAGTATAGCTTCATTCTGTGATTAGTCAGTCAAAAACAAAAACACATTAGATTTCAAACTAAAATTGACTACTAAGTAAATATTTTAATAATAACTGTTGCTAAACGTTGTCAGATTTGTTTTCAAAGTATAACTCAATAAGATTTTTCTTATGGAAATTGCAGCCCTGTATATCATCCTGCTGGCAAAGCCACTACACATTACATTTGGTTCTTCAGAATGAATGATATAGCAATAATTTTTCAGATGACCTAAGAATGTTTTCTTCTTCTAAGTTATTGAGATATTGTTTCACTTCAGCTTTTTTAATCTAGTTTTCTATTTGGTATACGTTGCATTATCAAGTATCAATTCACACTTACTTTATGAGAGAAAATGAACACTTTTGCTTAATTATACTAACATTTCTGTATCATGATTTTATTTGAAAGTGAATCAGTTAATGAAATACCAGCACCATGGCTACAGAGAATGGTATCTTACCTTTGCACTTAACATGTAGATCCGATTTCCAGCGCATACTGCCACTTGTTGATCATCTGGGCTAAATCTTACATGAAGCACCATTCCCAAAAGAGTTCTTATAACAATTCCATGAGGTGTAAACCCTGCAGCAATTGTATTGTTAATGAGACTCAATGAAATATAAAACTCTGGTGCAGTGAGATTTTTAGAAACTTCACATAGTTGTTATCTAACCACAGAAGCTGTCCCAGTTTCTGTCAGGAAGATGTACAGAACAACACACTGTTTAATTACATCAGGCTATTGAAAAGCACAGAAGTGTGCACCATCAGAATTCCTCCATCTGCCTTGTTGCCTTGACATGATGTGGTATTCTTTGAGATATTAAAAATTCTCATCAAATCATGCTTCCATTGAAGATTGCCACAGACAGAATTTTTGGAGTAGGGTGAGGTGCCCATGGAACCCAGCAGAGCCACAATAATTTTGGACGTAAGAAATCTTGACTGAAGCACAGCAAGACAGGGCTTTGAAAAATACTTCTTGATACTTTTTTTCCCCTCTTTCATTATTTCTCCACTTTCTAATCTATTTAAGCTTGAAGAGGGGTTAGAACTGCTCCCCAGAACCTAACTTCATTGGTTGAGGCTCCAAACCTAGATGGTGGTCAGGATACTAAAACTCCTGCTTTCTGTGTGTTATGTCAGCATAACTCTCTTTCACTCACACACTTTCCTCACAAATCAGATACTTGCATTGCTCACACACACGTGACAACAGTGTTCCAGAGACAGGAGAGGCAGGACCAGAAAAGGCAGGATGCAAAACACTAGTTCCACAGATATTCCAGAAAAGGTAGCATTTAGTTATTTCGGCATTGCATGTTTAATTATGCAGTGCTGCTATGATTGTTTTTTTTCTGTCCATTTTGTTCCACAGTGGCAGAACGTCACTGCGTTTGCAGTGCTTCCCTGCGTTTCACCCGAGGTAGATGGCAGGCGCTTGTTCCCGCACAGCACCTTGGTCAGCTCCCGGGGCTGCCCCGGCGGGGCCGCCGCCGCTGCCGCCGCCCGCCTGCAGCCCCCTGCCGCCGGCCCAGCACGGTATCGCCGAGGAAGGGCAACAGAGAAATAAAGCACCAATATCGCTGTTAGGGCTGCTGAATCTGAGTGGTTGAGGTGTGCTTCTCGGAAATAACAATCTTGTTACATAAGGAACAGTGGGAGAAAAGCAGATGTTGGGGATGATCTTCCAAGGTGGCCACTGCTCACTCAATCTGGCTGGGTATTGGTCTGAGTGATTGGTGGTGAATTATTCCCTTTGTATCACTTCCTTTTATATATATGTTATATAGAGACCCTGAGATTAGCTCAGTTGGTTAGAGTGTGGTGTTCATAACCCCAAAGTTGTGGGTTTGATCCCTATACAGGCCTTTCACTTAAGACTTAGACTCAGTGATCCTTGTGGGTTCCTTCCAACTATGATTCTTCAGCCACTCCTAAGGATATATATTATATAAATAACACTCTACCTTCTTGCACCTTCTGTGTACATTCATCAAGATTCCACACTATCACACGTTCATGAGAGGCAGAGCAGACAAGAGGTGGATTGATGTTACTTCCAAATGACAACGCAGAAATTGAGTAATGATGCCCTGACAAAAATAATGACTGACAAACGTAGATA